CCTCGGCCTCCCAAAGTGCTGGGATTACAGGCATGAGCCACCACGCCCGGCCCTAATTCTTTCTTTTAAGAGAGAACAGCAATACTAAAATTCATATGATGGGCATCTTATCTTTAACTATCCTATATTCCTTTTTATATTATGGTGAAATGTTCTATATGCGGTTAAATTTATGTTTTGTTCTAATTGGTGGTTTGCCATATTTTTCTTTTATTCTTAGGCCTGCAAAAATTCAATTTGTCTTGATTTATCTACTAATTGTTTACATGGAAGATTAACAGGAAACAAAGTAGTGAACTGGGACATTAAGGTAAATTAATAGTAAATGTTGGGCAACACATTATATGAGTTTACTGATACTCTTATTAAAGATTTTGTTTTTAAAGCACCGCCTGATTGATCTGAATAATAGATGTCAGTTAAAATGTTATGCAAACATACAATTTGAAGGATAAACAAATGCAAAGTTAAATGACTGACATAGTTGAATGACTTGGTTTGAAATGTAATTACCTTTGTAAGCTACAGCAGGTCTTTGAATAATGTCGTTCATTATAAAGTCAGTGAGAAAAAAATCAATTCCTGGCAGGGGCAACTGTCTGTGTGGAGTTTGCATGTTTTTGCCATGTCTATATGAGTTCTCAAATCTTATTTTCCTTTTTCGTTGACCTCATATTTATGTCACAGCTGGAACTTTCCTTCCATCTAGAGGCCTCTACTTAGTTTCCAAGACCAAACTGCTCTTACGGGTATCCCTAGCACTTTGTTATTTCACTTACCATGGCAAATAGTAACTGCTTGGTTAATGTTCTAGTAGTCCATAAGAACTTTAAAGGAAGGGTCACTGCTTTTTTTTTTTTTTTTTTTTTTAACCAGTTCCTGGTACAGGGTTATGCAACAAGTAAGTGTTGACTGGGTGATTAAATTAGTAAAGCTTGTTTACGGTGAGAGAGGCTTAATTCTTAAATATAGTGTTTCCTTAAATGATATTTTAAATAGAAGTTATAACCTAAGTAAAATAAAAGAAATATAAAAGATAATTATAAGAGGACTTGCTGGTAAATCAGGGAAATAAAAGATAATTATAAGAGGACTTGCTGGTAAATCAGGAAAAAAAACTTTTCTAATCAGTTAACACCAACCAAATACATTTATTATTTTCAGTGAAACAGAAATCATTAAGATAATTTTGCCTGTGTAGAAATAAATCTATCAATTAGTGTTAATTTCATGTTATTCATGGTATATAAGGCATTTTTCTCCTTAGTTTTGGTATAAGGACACTTGTTCTTGTTCTTTTTTTTTTTTTTGAGGCAGAGTTTTGCTCTGTCGCCCAGGCTAGAGTACGGTGGTGCGATCTCAGCTCACTGCTACCTCTGCCTCCCAGGTTCAAGCAATTCTCCTGCCTCAGTCTCCCAAGTAGCTGGAATTACAGGCACCTGCCACCACGCCCAGCTAATTTCTATGTTTTTTAGTAGAGACAGGGTCTCATCATGTTGGACAGGCTAGTCTTGGACTCCTGACCTCAGTTAATCCGCCCACCTTAGCCTCTCAAAGTGCTGGAATTACAGGTGTGAGCCACCATGCCCAGCCAGAGCACTTTTTTTAAATCTGTTACCATGGTAAGATTTATGACGTGATTGACAATTCATAAATTAACTTTTGCTTCACTTGTAAGACTGATTTTACAAAGCTGATTCCATGTGGTATTTTA